AGGAGACAGGGAAGTCTGTGAATACAAAATAAGCTTGTGCATGAATATTATGAATTTGATGACATATTTTGTTATAATGCTCTGAATGATGATTAGAACTTCTTCATTTGGATACCTAGCGGCGGCATCACCATGGGTACTGATATTTTGGTAATTGTGGGAGAAATTGGAACAGCCTGAAGACATTAATCTGGACATACGTAGAACATGCAAATTCCCCACAAAGGAACGACACACTTCAATGACAAATCACGATGACAAACAAAACGTAACGTTTATTTAATCATAAACTTTCACTTTTTTTGCAGTTGTCATTCTTCTCTAAGGTCATGTGTAGCGCAGTAGGCCAACAAAATAACAAGATGGACAATGCTAACCTGCTAGCTCAATGAAGTCCAATGTAGAAGTGCTCACGAACGTAGTTTTGCTCCAACTTGCTCTGGCTCCTATTTAATTATTAGCTCAGTAACCATTTTTTTCAAACTCACCATTTTGGGCTTGTGGTTTAGCGCTCGCTATGACCCTGGTGTTTATATTTAGATTCTGCCTTTGTTTTGTTTTTTTATTTAACTATTATTTAACCAGGAAAGTCCCATGGAGGCTAAGAATTTAATTTTCAAGATGCAGCTTAAGTTAGTTAATCCAGATATGAGCCATAAGAATTGACATAAAAAATGGATCAGACTAAATCACATTAATAAAGGAAATGTGGGAAAGAGATGTGCAACAGCAGTACTATCTCCGTAAGATATATTACCAAGCCTGATTCATTATGCAGCAAGGCCCCTTTTGGAGACGCATTGAATAGTGTGTAACTATTATTAAAAACTTTACTGTACTGCAGGGGACAACATCATTTAATTTTGATTATAATTTTCATTCAGAAACTAGTGGCCGTAGTATATTACAGCTACCAAATTAAATTACTCATGCTGATTAGCAACACTGATGAACTCACCCCACAGATTTGAAATGGATGAAAAATGAATATTTAACCTAATGATAATGTATTTGCACCAGTGCACGCAGAGTTCAAGACCTCACATTGAAGGTCTCCTGTTAAATATCTAACAAAGCAAGCCATTTGTACAGGATGAAATGATTGGAACAAGCGGCTCTCTAACAGTGCTTTAGAACAGTGGCTCCCAATCCCCAGTCCGCGGACTGGTACTGGGCTGTGGGTCATTCGGAACCAGGACGCAAGGAAAGAATAAATAACTTGAATTATTTTCGTTATGTTATGTGAGTTTGAATGATGAAAAATTGTTTATCTCTCTAAATCTCTTTAAAAACCCAAAGACAAGAGCGTAAATGGATTTGAACCACAATGCGCAGGTGTCCGTGAAAATATTGTCTGACCTTAAACCTGTCGTTGCACTAAAAAGGTTGGAGATCGCTGCTTAAGAAAACTCCAAGACACATTCCCCTTTGTGGTACCTTAAAGTACAGTGATTCCTCCTTTATCACATATCGCATTACGTTCTAAATAAAATCTTGCAATATGCTTTAAGGCTGTAAAACCCCTCACCACACTCCACTTTTCTGATCATCTCAACTCAGGATTGCTGAAGTGCAATTGCAGAGATATCCAAGATCTGAGGTTTAAAGCTGTGCATACACTTTAAAATACAGCCACAGACACCGGCCAGAGGAGCAGGAGAAGGACTGAGGACTACAGGAAAGACTGTGGTAGTCCTTTGAACTAGACACTGTAGTGCACACAATCCACAAAAGTTTCTTTACATGTTTTATTAGCGGTTATATGATTTATATTATGTTAAAGCAGTCAGAATTACAGAATTGAAATTTTTATAGATTATTTATTTGGCATTTAGACCCTAGTAAAAGGGACGACAGAAAGAGAGATGAATGAAGATATATGATATGAAATCTCAATTCCCCTGGGGGTCTAGACACTGCCCATGAACCCAGAAGAATAGATGATACTTCTGGGAAAAGAATGGTGTGGAGGAAGTTTGTGTTTGCTTACAAACTGAACTGTAAATAATTCTGCTGTATAATTGTTAAGAGCTGGCAGCAGGGTTCCATTCAAATGTAAAATGTTTTTTCAGGGTACTGTTCTGTAAACTAGAAAAAAACAGTACTGTATGGAGTTGAGATGTATGAGATGGTTATTTGCCATCTCATGGACAGATGTAGGGTTGTCGATTTTATGATAATCGGTTTTATGATAATCGCGATTATAAAAGCCTTTGGTATGTTACCCGTAAGGATTTTAGAATAGACATGCAGCCATGGATGAGGGTCTAATCTGTGGTTTGATTTTTAAAGGTAGGAAGCAGAGGAAAGGAGTGATGAAAGGATTTGACCGAATTCAAGTCTTTCAGTCTGAACATTTGCTTATAGCTCTTTGAGTAACATATATTTTGCTCAATTATGCATTTCTCTCCAACTGTGCCAGCCATATTGTTTCTCAGCACCAGTAAAACTTTTTCTTATGTCAGAATAATAAAAAATAAATGACTGCCTCCATTACTGGCTGTGTCCTCCTGTTGTAGACTAATTGAGCACCGCGGGAATGCTTTCCTTTTTACACAGTCATGAAATGGGGATGCTATTTCCCTCAAACAATAAAACTTCTTAGTCTCATTTAAACTAGAAAACCCTGTGTAGTTTGTGAGCTGTGAAAATTGGTCACTACCCATTACTCAAAAATAGAAGTGCACTTTTCATTTTAGAACCTAATGGCAAACTATTATTAATCAAAGAGAAAAGGTCGGCATGGCAGGTTGCAATTAATCCAGTCTGTTTTCATTTGGTGACGCCCATGGGTGCTGCGCTTCATTAACACATATACAGTATTATTGTACGTGGGAGTACACAACATTGAGTTTTTTATACCACTTGTTTATGTCCAGTGTTTTAAATAAAAACAGTTGGGTCAAGGGCTTTTCTATGAGGGAGTTTTCATTCAGAATTTAACATCACAATCTGAAAAAAGTGCCAGACTGAGACCACACGCCAGTACTTTATTAGAATATGACACTATGTGTTTGATTACATTGTTTTACTGACAGTGTTGTCCGTGTGCTGGAAAAATCACATAAACAATTATCAGGCCAAATACTGTTTCCGAATACAGTACAACAACTAGGCATGTGCTAAAATATAGAATTTGTATATAAATATGGATATATTTTGAATAGATAGAAAACAGTTTTAAAAATTTAGTATCATCAATTTTTTGATAGATCAGTATTTCAGTCAGTGATCCACACATTTTTCAACCAACAATCTTCAATAAATATTTTGTCCAAACAGGAGTGAATATTAGAGGGGCCAAGAGGCTTTATTCTTTATTGAATGGTATCAAATTGTGTGAAGATGCGTATCACAAACTCTTAAGAGATCCTCAACCCTATATCAACCTTTTTACTGGGCTTTCTACAAAACACAACATTAACGCTTTTTTTTCTTTTTGCCACAAATAATTGGGATTTTTACAGGACACATCCTGTGGTGTCAGATCTGTGAAGAAGCAAGCCAACTCACTGAATGGAAGCATGTTTTCCAGTGTATTAATGTAGCGCTCTTTTTCAGCCAACAATACACCTACTCAAAATTTGTGTCTTTAAAACATTAGAAATGAATAGATAGATAGATAGATAGATAGATAGATACTTTATTGATCCCCCATAGGAGAAATTAAGGTGTCCAGCAGCAGAAGACTCATCCAGGTTTGTTGTACAGTGACCAATGACCTTCAATTCATATTATCAATGATTTTTATCAATGTGTCCAGTTGGGTTCATCTAAGAAGGAAGGTATGACCACTTCCCTAAAAAGTTTGATGGTCAAAGTTTATTACACACCTCTTTAAAGTTAAAGTTCATGAGTACCACAATGCTTTGTATTGGAGTGAGCCAGTCTGCATTATGTGAAATATAACTTAAGCCACCTTGACAAACAGATCTCCAAGGACAGATTCTGTTTTCAAAGCTGCTCTTGACTCAACAATCTCTCAGGAGTCAGAAAAATTAACTGCCGTCTGACAGCACAACAAGCATGCTAATTTGTTAGAATTTTTTCAACCCCTTTTATGTCGGAAGGATCTCAGATTAGACTGCTTGCCTTCAGCCATATTTATTTATGTTTTGTCAAAGCAGCATCCACAAAGATAATTTTTCCCATTACATTAACACTGGGTCTCTCCTCTTCTTGCCGGCAGACTGAGTTCCTATGGAAACAGCAGTATTGAGAGTTCAAACTTATTACTATGCAGGACCATCCAATAATTTGTGATTTCATAAGTGTCCTTGAATGTTCCCCCATGCCGAATTTTACTTTTTACTCCCTTTTTGGCTTTGCACACAGGATCATTGAACTCAAAAGCAGCCAGATTGAGGCTCATAGAGGATCCAAGACTGGGCTGAACCGTAACCACAGCGCGTCAACGTTTTATTGTTTCTTGACCTTTCGGAATTGTTCAAATCAGGTTGACCTTTTTACATGCCAGAATAGAGTTGCTCCAAGACGACACACGTTTCCATTATGTTTAACTATGATGACCCCAAAAATGTGTCACACCTGTTTGTTCCCAAATTTTACAGACCCAAAAAAACTTGCACCCACTCTTTCTCTCGAACATTGTCTTTATTTCCCTTATGGCTCTTTGGACTTGGCGCCACTGAGGCTGTCTGCCTCCCGTGAAAAGGCATTGTCTGGAAAAGCTGAAGGTGTAGAGCAGGCATCTCCAACCGGTAGCTCGCGAGCTACCGGTAGCTCGCGGCGCACTTTTGAGTAGCTCGCGTAAAGATTTCTGAACCTGATCTAAATTTAACAGTTAAGTGTGATTTCATGCTGGCAAATGCACTGCTACATACCTCATGCATCTATCCAATGAAAAAACCTTACTATCTCGTTAATCCCGCCCCTTTTGTATGTACAAACTTCCAATTAGCCAATTCACCGTCAATCAACGTGCTCCTGCAGTCAAGCTTGATGTGTCACTGAACTACCGCTGTTGCTCCGCTGCCATCATGAGCGCCGCTAAGAAGCGAAAATCATACAACTTTCACCAAGAATGGGAGACAGAATTTTGCTTCACAAATGTCAACGACAAGTGCGTGTGTCTGATCTGTGGTGCCAGCGTGTCAGTCGGCAAGCGAAGCAATGTGGAGCGCCATTTTACCACAATCCACGGAAACTTTTCGCGCGACTTTCCCATGGGCACAAACTTACGAAAGGAGAAGATAAAGGAGCTAAAATCTGCCCTCCAGAGACAACAATGTTTGTTCACCAAACCTACGAAGAAGGCAAATGCAGCCACGGAGGCATCTTTTAAAGTAGCGCACATACTAGCTAAGCACAAAAAGCCCTTTACCGACGGTGCCGTTGTGAAGGAGGCTATGACCGCGGCGGCCGAGACACTGTTCGTGGATCATAAAAGTAAGACAGAGATTATGTCTGCTATCGGTGATGTGCAACTGGGAGCAAACACTGTGGCCAGGAGAGTGACTGCACTGTCTGAGGACGCTGTGGGACAGCTGGATTCGGACATTCAGAGGTGTAAATGGTTCTCAATTCAATGTGATGAGTCGGTGGATGCCAGCGATACAGCCCAGCTAGCTGTTTTCGTTCGTATGGTCTTCGAGGACTTTTCAACCAAAGAAGAGTTTTTGACTCTGCTTCCACTAAAAACTACCACCAGAGGAGTTGATATTTACAATGTAGTGAAGGGCTATTTTGTGGACAAAAAGGTGCCCATTGAAAAGCTGGTGTCCATAACAACAGACGGCGCGCCTGCTATGACGGGCCGTCATTCTGGATTTATTGCTCACTGTAAAAAGGACCCGGACTTTCCCAAGATTCTTAACTATCACTGCATCATACATCAACAAGCTATTTGCGCCAAAGTTCTGGATTTTAATCATATCATGGGACCGGTTGTCAAGATAATCAACTCCATCCGGGCAAAGGCAAAGCAGCACAGGTGCTTCAAGGTGTTTCTCGAGGAATGCGCAGCGGAGTATGGGGATCTCCTCCTTCACACGGACATCAGGTGGCTGAGTCGCGGTAAGATACTGCAGCGCTTTCTCTCCTTGCTTGGTGAAATTAAGACTTTTATGGAAAGTAGGGGAGAGGACATCTCCCTTTTAAATGATGCTGAGTGGCTTCTTGATCTTGCTTTTCTGACTGACGTGACTGAAAAAATCAACCAGCTAAACCAGCAGTTGCAGGGCAAGGATAAACGTGTGTCTGATATGATCAGTGCTGTCAGGGCGTTCAATGCAAAGCTCTCATTTTACATTAAGCAAGTGAGAAACCAAAGGTTGCAGCATTTCCCCTCTGTAACAAAGATGTGTGAGAGTAACGCAGATGCAGCCAGTGTTTTGAATGTTATCAAGTACTGTGATCTACTGGCAAGGCTTGGACAGGAGTTTTCTGACCGGTTTGGTGATTTTGACAAACTTGAGCCTTGTGTGATATTTATGGCAAACCCATTTATGGATGTGGACATAAGTGAGATATCAGGTCAGATGGGTGAACTTTTCTGTGTTGATCCAATGGAAACTGAAATGGAAATCATTAACATTCAAAATAATGTGCAGCTCAAGTCTCAACAACAGTCCTCCCATTTCTGGAGTCTTGTAGGGCCAGATAACTATAAGAATCTTAACCAGGTAGCGCTAAAAATGTATGCATTGTTTGGGTCTACTTACCTTTGTGAGTCAGCCTTTTCTGACATGAATGTTATTAAGTCAAAGTTCAGGACGAGACTTTCTGATGAACATTTAACTGCTTGTATCCGTGTCAACTTAAGTGGCTACACTCCACATTACACTTCGCTTGTTTCTTCAATGCAGTGTCAGGCATCTCACTAAATATGTGTACTGTGTCAATGAGTGTGTGTGTGTGTGTGTGTGTGTGTGTGTGTGTGTGCGTGTGTGTGCATAGTTAACAAAATAAAAATGTCATAGAATGGCATTTAAAAATATATTTTTTGTTCAAACTTGCTCTTTTATGATGCAAAATGTAATAAAATGTTCAGGTAATATACATTTATATTTTCATTTTGGATGAATAAGCTTTGAAATAAATGTTGCGAAACATGAGTAGCTCTCTGCTGTTTTGCTCTTCTAAAAGTAGCTCACTGTAGGAAAAAGGTTGGAGACCCCTGGTGTAGAGCTTTATTTTTAGAGTCAATCTCTTGTTGTTGCTCCGTCTGAGGGAGGAGGCTGTGAATCATGTCAAAACCTGAATGTGAACTGCTGAAAGCCGCCTTAGGATAGAATTCTGCCTCTGTATGTCTCTCTCTAATTTTGATGTGGCTTTAATAATTCAGCGCACAGCTGAAAAGAAGCACATGGGTCACATTTTCTAATGAGTGACAAAAGCTTTTACTTTAAATTACTTCTTTACTTCAAACATAAGTTGATTGTTTTTAAGTAAAATAATAATTCATTTTTTTTTCCATATTCACCCATTCATTTTCATCTGCTTTGTCTATTATTGGGTCGCAGGGGCTTCAGACGCACACTCCATGCACACTGAGAGACAGTCCTTCCAATGTGGGGGTTCCCTGGGGCCTCATCCTGGTGGGATATGCCTGTAACATCTCCTCAGGGCATCCAGAGCAGATGCCAGAGCCACCTCAACTGTCTTCTCTCGTTATGCTGAAGCAGTAGCTCTATTCCGAGCTCTTCACTTTTCCTCTTCTTTCTGCAGTAATTATAGCTCTGTTTGTGTCGTAAACCTCTTCAATATTATGGTTATAATGTTCTCCTGGTGTGATTGGTTTTAATTGTTCTATTTTGTATTGTCAATTTGTTGGGTTTCCTTACGCATCTGTTCCATTGTGCTGTTTAACTGATTTGACTGTTGTTGTTTTTTTATGAGGAATCCTTTGAATAGAAGTTTCCAACATTACAAGGCTGTAAAAAGGTCCATACCAGTGTTCAATAAAATAAGTCATTGACATGTTCCTGTGAAACAATCCCTGCCTCAGCAGTAGGGCTGGGCGATATGGCTGAAAACTACTGTATATCGCAATATAAGTAATTCATATTTTGGTCGATAAATTTATATATTGATTGTTTTGTTTTGTTTTTTTTAAACCTAAATAAATACATTTGTTGTGTCGGCTAACACACGTCAGCAGCCCTTGTTTATAATCACGGGGGAATGAGGCTCGAGGAATGTGTTCACAAGCACAGTGTCCCCCATTGTTAGTCCTGGTTTAATCCTGGTTTAGTCCTGGTTAAGCTCTTGTTTTGGCTGTTTTCGAGTGTCTTGTGTCCCTGTGATGGCTCCGTGCGGCTGTGCTTCCCGAGGAAAAATGTCATCTCTTGCTTTCGCTGAATGCATCGGGTCTCTGTGCCCACTGCCTCTACCGCGGCGCACATGCTATTCTTCGAACGGACGTGCATAACTATTGACACGGTATTGAAACACAATCCATTGATCCATGGACACTACGCATGGTGCATGTTTTGTTTTTGCATTTACCAGAATGTTTGGCAGTCCATGATTGGCTGTGATAGGTCGAGAAGTCTCTGCCTACATCCCCCAGAATGCCGTGCGCTTCTGACTCGGCTTTACTTCCTGTGTTTTCTTCCTGTTTTTTCTAACTGAGTGAAGTTAAACTATCAAACATTCTATCGACCCTGTTTTCTATTGATATCGAACACGTGTCTATTGCAATATATATCGTTATCGTTTTATCGCCCAGCCCTACTAAAGAGAACAGTTTGACCTAGGGCTGGGCAATAAATCGAATTTTGGCAATTAATTCGTGAAAAATGTGAAAATCGTGAAATCGAATGAGGGATATTGTGAGAGTTCCAGTAGTATCAATTACTGTATACTTGCGATATCAGCACAGTCTGTACTAGACTTTAATATTATGTATTGGGGGAAACAAATAAAAAATAGTTTTGAAACTTAAATATTGAGCGGGAAGATACAAAATATTTTAAGGGCAAAGTCTGTCTTGAGTGATTTAAAATCGACATCGTCCAAAGCAGGAAATAAAATCGAGATTTAACTTTTTTGCCATATCGCCCGCAGCCCTAGTTTGACCCCTGGACTATAGACGCCATTGTCGCTGCGAGAGTCCATTGGTCCGTAAGGGGTGGATGACCAAAGTCCTTAAATGTCCTGGATCATTAAACCCTCCTGCATCGGCAAGGAACATCTAGAAACCACAATCTCAATCATGTCTCTTTGCATTTAACATTATTTTCTTAAATATGCCAATTATATGCCCGTTTTGTGTCATGTAGCTGTAAATTGAAATTAACAGAGGCCATCAACTTCCTATCTATAGTTTGGGAAAATTAGAAAATGCAACTCTGCTATGTATTTATCTTTCGCTCATCAAAACTTTTTCTTATAATTAAACGGCACATGCACTCTGCTGCCAATTAGCGTCCCAAACCACTCAATTCCCACTTTAACCTTCTGCTTTCAACGCTCTCATCTTTGTCTGGCAGATTCAAACAGCTACGTCAGTCTTTGAAGAGTCTATTATTCTTACATCCCAGAGTATATATATGCAAATGAGCTCTGGTTTGCAAATATGAGGCCTGAAATTCAGATTGTGATCTGAAATTGTGATCGACACATCAATCACAGCTGTTTAATCTGCAAAGTGGTGTGTGAACAGAGAAGGACATGTGGACAATGGGGACAAGCAGGTCTCTGGACTGACCTCAGAAGCACCTGCCTGTTATTCTGAATGCTCGTGTTGTTTTTACTCTCGTCCACGTTTGATTGCATTGCTCGACTTTCAAGCCGCAACAATCTCAAAAACTTATCGGCACAATTCAGACTGACAGCCTTTGTTCGCGTGTTCTTTCATGCTCTTTTGAAAATTCTAGGGATTTAGCCAGGCTTGTTTCACTGGCACACTTTAATATGGTCCCCAGACACAATTCAAAGACATTGGACTTTGAGTTTTTCATCAGTTTGACTAATAGTTTGTGTGTGTGTGTGTGTGTGTGGACAAGGGAAAAGAGCTCGGGACAAGTGTCAGGTCAGACATAATCAGAGTTCGTAGACTGTTGCTTGTTGATTAAACTCCAGACAGAAAGGAGTTTGTAAGTCAGATAAGGCATGTTGAATATGTGGATACAAACTAGAATGCTTTGATTAAGGAAATATTGTAACTATTTCCAAGGCATTGACCCATGAGATCTGCAACCAAGAGACCATTTTGGAGAATTCATTAAAACTTTTCTTCTAAGAAATGTTACCTCGTCTGGTTTTTCGGTGTTTGAGCACATTTTGAATATATTCAAAGTGCTAGGTGAAAGTGTAAGAATTGTCATTATACTTATTGTAGACACATTGAACTGAATGATATCTGCATGATGCAATTCGTAATATTTCACATTCTTCTAATACTTGATTTGCTAATCCCATTTTGTTATGTGCTAATACCAGCACAAAACAGACTGCATACACAATAAGATCATTCTTGATTTGTCTGAAATAGCATCTGTAAAATAAAATAGTGTGTGCAGTTTGAGTGATTTCATTGTTTGCTTCAATGTTAAGGGGTGCTAATCATTTCTGGACACAGGTAGGTAGCAGGACAAAGAAACCAGAGAATGGACTGGTTTCCAAAGCAAAAGCACTGAAGTTATTTTCACTTGGTGAGAATTGCTTGGTAATGTTCACTTAAATGATCTACCATGCCCAAAAGGGAGCTCACAGGCTACAGAAGAAATGAAAAATGTCAAGGGGAATTGTGTTATTTCAGATTTTTTTTTATATGGCATGTGCCGCTGAATACAACAGTGGATTGAAATGTCACAAAGATGGATTGACCAGAGATCTGTTTTGAGATCCGCCATTTGTTTTGACCTTTTCCATGTATCTATAAATATAGTTCACAAAACCAAAGTCTATTTTGTGTTCCCTAATCTGTATTCTTCTTTTGTCATCAATTGCTTATATAAATAGTTTTAACTTAACTCTTCTCCCTTTTCTCATATTTGGTTTTGTTATGTAAAATAAAAAAAACAATAATACAGCATTCACAAAAGTATTGTAAAATATAAATAAAATGCATGCAACATCACAAACCACTCCCACCATTTATATACAGTATATATAATGTACTGTTACTCTTATGTCGTCCTGTGTTGACCAGGAAGCGCAATCATGTAGGGACTTGATTGACGCGCCAATGATAAACAATCATTGGCGCGTTTATATCTGAGTGGAGCGTAGAAATGCAAAAAACATGAAACTAAGTAGAAAATCTGGTCGTTTGCCCTTAGATTAAACTGATGGCAATGTGGCACACTCCTGTTGCGAGACAAATGTAAGATCGTTCCACCGCCGAGAAGATCTGTGGGAGGATCCTACATGGAATAACAAATTAATTTATCTTTTTACGCAGAGAGAATTTGGTCGATAAAACCACCTCCTTAGCTCAGTGAAAGGTGTGGATAATGTACCATATTGTATTTTAACGCTAGATGCCGATGCACAGATTTTCTTCTTCTAAGTACTTTTTTGATAATGGGCGTCATAAAGTTCCCTGGAAGTTTTTCCCTATTCTTTATAGTTATCTGTGTTTTTAACTTATTGCACTCAGATTCTTTGGTAGGAACAAAGCGGTAAACACAATTTTACTCCAAAAAACTTGAAATCATTTACATTACACATCCTGTACTTGTCTTGTACTTATTATTTCTTATAGCATCCTTAACAGGGTTGTAGTCCATTGAGTTCCAACCATTGTTCCAAAAGGTTTACATTGAGATATTACCATCTGAGCCAATGAAACATACATTATATAACCTAATTTGCATTGCAGAACTCACCAGTTCCCAGTTTAGGCTTCTCATGAATCGATCAATCCTTTCCAAATACAAAAATCAGGAAAAAAAAGAAAATGTTTGCCATGTTTTTCCGAATGAGGTAATTTAGTTGGTGGTCTACAACGGAATCTGCTTAACTCAAATAGTGTGCCGTGACCCCCAAAAAGTTGAAAACCACAGAATAGTCCCAACTATTGTCATTCATAGCATTTTTTCTATTATTCAGTGATATGAAGTCAGAGCTTGAAAATCCCATGTTTAATTAGCTCTTGACAGTGTAACTCTAAATTGATAAGAACTCAATTAAACAGGGAACAGCAGTGGAATTGTATCAGATTTTTTTGGCACACTCAATACACGCTCTCACAGGAGTAACTAAAGGCCAACGTGGTGAATTATTACTAAATTGTCTAAATATCTATGATTGAAGAGTGATCACTGTATTTAAATGATATAAGCAGATAAAATGCATCCATCAACAACATCAAAAATATTCCAACCGGAACCAATACGTTTATATTCTCTCCACTATAAATGCTGCTGCCTGCTTACATGGACAAGACAGTGAGCACATCACCCCTCATTTACTGGCTTTCTGTCACATTCAGTTTGATTTCAGGCCTATTTCGAAGCTGCCTTTTTTAGTCAAAGTATTGGAGAAAACTGTTCTTAATCAATTCCAACAGCATCTGGACACAAATGGCATCTTTGACACATTTCAATCAGGTTTTAAAGTTCTACATAGCACGGAGACTGCACTGCTCAGAGTTTTTAATGATCTGCTTTTAACAAATGACTCTGGGTCTCCTGCCATTTTAGTTCTTTTAGATTTGACAGCTGCTTTTGACACTGTAGATCACAACCTTTTAATTTCGCGTTTGGAGCACTACGCTGGTTTTAAAGGCACTGCATTAAACTGGTTAAGGTCCTATCTTGGTGACAGGTGTTTTTCTGTCCACTGTGGGCCCTACAAGTCTGGCCTGGCACCCCTCAATTGTGGTGTTCCACAGGGCTCCATTTTAAGCCCCGCCCTTTTTTCTTTGTACATGCTGCCACTTGGCGATATTCTAAAGAAACACAATGTCTCCTTTCATGCCTATGCTGATGACCTGCAGATCTACCTGCCTTTAAATCCCACCTCAGTGTCAATTACAACACTGCTAGATTGTCTCCAGGAAGTAAAAACTTGGCTGGCCCAACATTTTTTGATTCTCAACGAGAGTAAAACTGAAATTGTTGTTTTTAGCTCCAGCCTCACTGATGCACTTGGTGCACTCCCTGCTTATGTCCATTCCTCTGCTAGAAACTTAGGAGTTATTTTTGGTAGCACCTTCAGGATGGACAAGCAAATCAACTCTGTCATCAAAGCCAGCTTTTATCAGCTCCGGGTCTTGAGCAAAGTGAAGGCTTACATCCCACCCACTGACTTTGAGCGAGTTATCCACCTTATTATTTCATCTAGGTTAGATTACTGCAACTGGTTGTACTGTGGTCTGGACCTCGGCTCATTAAAGCACCTTCAGCAGGTTCAGAATGCTGCTGCTCGCTTACTCACGGGGACACATAAGTGAGAGCACATCACCCCTGTGCTGGCCTCACTTCACTGGCTCCCTGTTACTTTCAGGGTTTTAAGATTCTGATGCTTGTTTTTAAGTGTTTGAATGGTTTGGCCCATGTGTATCTGTCAGAGCTGTTATCTCTGTATGCTCCTGTCAGATCAGTGAGGTCTGAAAACCAGCTTTTGTTGAACGTGCACCGGTCTCGTCTCAAAACTCGTGGAGACCGAGCCTTTTCTGTTGTCGCCCCCAAACTGTGGAATAGTCTACCTCTGTTCATTAGAGCAGCTCCTTCATTGGATGTTTTTAAGTCTACTTTAAAGACACATTTTTACACCTTGGCTTTTGACACCAATTGAGTTTGACCATTTTACTTTTACTTATGTATGTATTTCGTGCTTTTTTTCTTTTTCTTTTTTATCTCTCATGCCTGTGAAGCACTTTGAGCAGCTGGTGTTGTTGTACATGTGGTATACAAATAAAGTTGACATTGACATTTCATTATTCTGATGCTTGTTCTGTCAAATGCTGAGATGCCACATATATTTTCTCATGTCCTAGATTTGTCAGGTCAGAAAAGTATTTGGTGTAAAGTAACCAGATCTTATTTGTGGAATGTTCATCATGTCTTCTTTATGTTTAAGGCTAACAAGGTTATTTTATTGAGATTTTATTGTTTAAAGAAGCTAGTACTGCTTAATTACCACTGGTGGTAGACTTACCCCTTTGTCAGAGGTGACACATGATTGCATGACATGTTTCTTATCAGCTGTTGTTACCGGATGTGGCCAGACAGACCATGCCCCTGGGGCGCTCAGACCATCAACGGACACAAGGGGGGCCTATCCATGTGTCACACATTGGACTTAATGTCAGAAACACATCTACTCTGACAAAGGTGGAAGTCTTAGGCTGAAACATGTCAGGCATTACTAGCGTCCTTACAATCTTTGTCTTTTTAAAACAACGTTTTAATCTGTACCCCGATCTTTATGTTTGTCCTATATTCTTCGCACATCCACTCCCTTGTGTGGTTGGTGTCTTCAGGACACCTAAAGCAGTTTGAAGATGTGTCCTAAGTGGAGTGCATTTGCCCTTATCAAAGTCTTATCCCGTTGAGAGAGGGGGATACTGCGATGATGGCGACTCTCCCCTGATGTGGCCTTTTCATTTGTACCTCCTTGTCTCTGTTCCCTCCTCCCAGTGTTGTGTGAGTAATGAGCCCACTGCAAGTCGGGCTAATTAGACCCGACATCACCCCGAAACCAGCACGCACAGTCTACAGGTCCTACACACATGCTTACACACACACACACACACACTGCAGATTAATTCTCCAATATTTGTGTTTAATGCACAATTAAAATCAGTATTGCCATAAGAGATTTTGATTTAATTCCACTTAAAGCTAGGCTACCTTACTTTCAAACAGAAAATAAATTAACCATGCCATAACATCCATGAACTAGTTCCTAGCTCAAATGCATGTATTTTTGGCCTCTGTCATTTAGATTAATTTTTTCAGTCAAAAAAATCTGTCAGCCTAAACAGTCAAATAGTGACTCTCCAAGCTCTTTCTTACATGTATGCAAAAATGCCCCTGGAACATGATGTCATGTTTTACTGTTGAGAGAAACGAATAGCCATAATAATAATAATAAAAAAGCTGTAAGTGTTTAAAGATTAAACATAATGTGTTAAATTATAATACACCACTTCTAAATATTGTGTTACATAATTGATACTTAGGGCCTCATTTATCAATCCAAGTGCAAAGCACAATAGCGTGTACAACTTTAAAGTTTAAGTTCTGTTTGTCAAGTTAGTTTGTTCGGTGTTTGTTTGAAGGTGTACTAATCAGGTGTACTATCAGATAAAATACAGCTTTGATTGTAGCTTGTTGCTTTTATTTGCCAGGAAAGGATTATAAAATGGGAAAAAAACTCATGATGCTGAGGCTGATTTTAAAGCTCTGTGTGTAATCGACTCTCGCTGATATTTTCCTCCCATAAAAATGACCACATGCAGCCAACGTGCTATTTTGTAAGGAATGCCATGTTTTTTCCCCAGAGGTAATACCTTATTAAATATTGCAGGCACTATACCCTTAAGTAACTGTAATATTACAACTGTGTATGTTTTGTTCCGTCGCTGGGTAGACAGTGGTGCCTTATGTCTTCACGTAACAACATGCCTTTAACATTTAATTAAAATCTTTGCCAAAGTACATTGTCCCCTTGGGCTTCTCGTGTTCCTGGGGCATTTGCCCTCAGCTTGGTCCTATTGGAAGCTAAAGTAGCGCTAAAGGCTATTCCGCAATGTGCATGCGAGATAAAAAGTAATTGTCGCCCCAGAGGAAGTATGGAGGCTCCCTGTGTCGGAACAATGCTTTCAAGTTCACTATGTCTCAGCGGGCGGGCAGGACCTTTGTCGTCATGAATTCTGCATGAGTTGATTCTTCTATACATTATAGTGTGATTGCCACAGGTCTCAGACAGACGGTTGCACAGAGCACTAGGGTTAGTTTGGCTGTGGACTCCGAATCTTGCTCCAAGTAGAAATGTTTTGAATGGGCCCTGGAAGGCTGATAGAAGTCAGTCGGCATGTTGGTTTGAAGCAGGATATCATTTTACAGACTATAAGGAGCAACTGCTTTAGATTTTTTTTAACTAATCATAAAATTTGGGGATTTTGCTCTGCTGATACAATGATACATTTCTCATACAGTACAGTTGATTAAATAGATAATATATATATTATTTTATATTGGATCAGATGGATAGACTTTCCACAGACAATGTCACATACATAGAATGACGAGGAATGCAGCCACCATACTATAGTAGACATACCTTGCTATAATATAAATATATATTATACATATTATTCATATAAATTACACAATAGTCCCCAATGATAAATTATGTCCAGGACACAACACCTGTGCTCATTAAATTGACCCAGCCTCCTTTAATGTTTGTGAAGAAGGGCCAAACAATACAAACCTTTGTTTGGTCATAAGAGTAATATTACTAAAATTTAAAGACCTACATCTACAGTGTGTGTAAAGTATGGGCAAGGGGGTTTAAATATGATTCTTTTTTTCCATCAGCCCGACTTCAATATCACATTAATGAACAAATATGGATTGCTCTACAAAAAATGGTTGCATTTAGTGACCCAATAGTTCCAACATTTACTTTCTATGCAGTAGTACACTTTGTCATAGTGCTTTAGTTTTGACTGACAAGGGTGAAGATATTGGCCCTCATTTATGAAACTTGCGCAGAAAAGGGTGTATATTTTTGGTGTAGATTCCAGTTACGCAAAATCCAGCGCAGGATTTATGAACGTGTGAGATCCGCACAGATCTGAGCGTAAGCACCTTCTGGTGTTGATAAATGGCGCGCTCAAAACCAGCATATTTATGAAAGTCATGCCTAGAAATATTCAGAAAATATTAGTTACCTATGTAAGTGTAGTTGTTACATAGGGCTACGCTATCGGTATTACTTTTGAGGCACCTAACCTCCGCCAGAGAGATCGGAGATCCAATGCGCCTATCACGCAAGAGCTCCTGACGGGAAACGACTAACTACACACACAGACACAGGACCGGAGGACGCCTCTAACAAGAGCACCTATCGGTCCCAAACCCATCAGTCCACCGCGCACAAAACCGAATGAGCGACTGACCTGCCTGACACGTCCAGGAGATAAGACTGGACAAAAGTAGAAGACCAAGACGCCGCTCGGCAGACGTCTTCCACCGAGACCCCCCGAAGCAAAGCTGTGGAGGCCGCTACACCCCGAGTGGAGTGAGCCCTGAACCCCGCAGGGGGGGTACGTACTGTACCTCAACATCCTGACCGGGCATAAGAGGTGCCCCCTCGCGTCCTCCGGCGAAGCATGAGGTGGCAGAAAGAAAGGCCTGATCCTGATGACTCTAGACCTGAAAGCCGAAGTAACGACCTTAGGGAGGAAGGCAGGGTTGGGCCAAACGACAAACAGGAGGGACGAATAGAAAGTCCGCACAAATCACCCGCCCTCTTGGTTGACGCTAATGCCAACAAGAGGGCCGTCTTGAAGGACACACATTCCGGGCTAGCCTGACCAATCGGCTCGAAAGGCGGCCCAGACAAACCCCCCAAAACCACCTTCAAGTCCAACACTGGGGGCGTTCTCCTGAGAGGGGGCCTCCTCCTGCGGGCCCCCCTCTGGAAGCGCTTGACCAACGGATGGGAGCGGGCAGTGAAGCCTGCGAACCCTCTGTGACCCGACGCAATGGCTGCCGCAAAGACCGCAAGGGTGGAGGCAGCCCTCCCCTTATTGAGCAGTTCCTGCAGAAACCCCAGACCCCCCTCCAAGGGACAGGAGACAGAGTCCAAGGAGCGTACACCAACCACTCCTTAAAGCTAGCCTGACTCTCGCCAGACCCATGTAGTTTGCTGCACTTCACACATGAGTCTGGTACTGAGCCATAGTGGTTGGATTTCAGAAGGCAGGGCCTTGTAAAAAAAATCCTTGTATGTGATTGGATCAACCACTTGTCCGTTATCTTGAATGAAGTCTGCTTTCAACCACTCACATCGAAGCACACGGCTCCCATAGGTTGCCAAATCCCAGCAAGATTTTCCAACCCAAAATCTGCGAGAATACCCACACAAAAAAAACACTCAGAATGATTTTTTGGCTAAAAACATAACGTAATCTACTTGGGCTATCATGATTCTGTTTATTGTCTTTCTGTTTATTTAATACCTACAAGTCTCTTGGAAAAAAATATGCGGGAACCACCAAACCTGGCAACCCTGCTGCATAGTGTGTAAACAGGAACACTGAACCAGTGCTTCAACCAAACTTTACAGGAACATTTGACAGTTAAAACACACATATATCAACATAGAACCATCAACATCTCGCCTCAAATTGCATTAAAAGTGACATCCGTGTCTTAATTCGATCGTATTTACTCTCTTAAAAAGATTTGTGGACTTTACGTCCGCCATTTTGGATTCCTCTCGCTGCTGCATGAGAGAAGCTTGAGAAGGCAGTGCAAACCCCACGTAACACCGGCCATCCTGATTGGTCGATTAAAAAATAATCTGGGGAAGGCGTTCGCTATGGGCTCGATACCAGACCCATGTGGTTCAGCCAAACGCCTCTGGTGGAGCATGGCGGAACTACAAGGGTCTGGCAGAGCCAGGCTATCTTAAAGCAGGGGTGCTCACACTTTTTCAGCATGCAAGCTACTTATAAAATGATCAAGTCAAAATGATCTACCTGCTACCTACAAAAATGTAAAACATATATTTATTTCTAAATATATTGAGGATTTTTTATATCTACAATGTATGTTGATGTACATAATTTATAAAAGAATTTGCATCCACACATAACCGAACATCTGCGTTTTCAATGACATTCAAAACATTCCAAACAGTCCTCTGACTTCCTGCGTTGGGGAAAAACACAGAAGTGGGCGAAGCTTTGATGCAGACGCCGGTACTTCTGTAGCGGCACTTACAGTCATAGTAGAAACTCAGGGTGAAGACATATTATTATAGATCCATGGTGAAGACATATGTTTACAAACACTGACCCCCGTCCTCAGCCCTGGTTTGATCTTGGTTTAGCTCCTGCTTTTGTTGTTTTCAAGCGTGAGTCCCTGTGATCACTTTGCTGCTCTCTGATGTGGATAATGTTCGCTTGTTGGAAGCCTCAAAAGGTCTGATAGTGATATTGAGTTGTATTTTATAATTTTGTTTAAAAAGAAATATACGCTAATTTATGTATACGCATTTTTCCCTATAGTGACCCACTGCAGCACTCATCTCTCTTGAACTTTAGAAGTGAATGAATCAATGACTGAATGAATGAAGGAATCTTAATATCTCAGCGGTGGCTCATCATTAACTGGATGAAGCGTCTGCGGAATCTTCTTGTGAATGCAATGGAGCGATTACTGTGAGAGAGAAAGGATGCGTAAGCTTTTGGGAAGTTTACACCCTGATTTGGCCGTACGCAAGTTTCATAAATGAGGCCTGTTGTGAGTGACTGTGTATTGTATGTTCTCCTT